GAATCACGGACTTCAAGAGTGGCGCCAACTGCAAATATTCTACGATGGATTGCAAGATAACTCGAGGACCATGCTCGACTCTGCAGCTCGAAGAATGTTCATGAGTTTGACATACGATGAAGCATACGAACTTTTGGAGCAAATCGCTAGAAATAAATACATGCGGGCGTCGGATCGGTCAAATAGCGGAGTCATTAAGACGGGAGGAATTTTGGAGTTAGACGGGGTCACCGCAATCGCTGCCCAGTTAGAAAAGCTATCAAAGCAAGTAGCAACTTTGAAGACTCAGCAAGTCCATGCAGTGCAAGGTCCCAACCAATGCTTAGAAGAAACTGAGTCTCTAAATTACGTGAATGACACCAACCGACAACAGAGGAACCCGTACTCCAACACCTATAATCCGGGATGGAAAGATCACCCCAACTTTTGATGGGGAGGAAATCAGCAAGGACAAAGGCAAGCACCACCTCAAGGTCAACCTCCTAGCTATTCACGACCAGCTCCCGGATTCCAAAATCCGCCTCAAGCTACACCCCAAGGTGGAGATCTCGCAAACATCTTAGATCAATTTATGACATCCACCCAAGCTTCTATCCGAAATTTGGAAACACAGATGGGTCAACTTGCAACCCAGCTAAACGCGAGGACATTGGGAGCACTGCCGTCGAATACGGAAGATCCTCGAAAGAGCAACATCGAGCAATGCAATGCTGTAAGTTTAAGGAATGGGAGAAAATTGGAGGAAGCCCCACGAAAAGAGAAGAGAAGCACGGTAATCGAGAAGCCAACAGTGATGGAGGCAAAAGAAACAACTCAAGAAGAACCACCGTCAACAGTGATTTCAAGAGCCCCTCCAATTCCATACCCTCAAACGTTTCTAAAGAAGAAGCTCGATGCCGAATACCAAGGGTTTTTGGACAAGTTGAAGGAGATTCACATAAATATCCCTTTCATCGAAGCCCTTCAAAAGATGCCAAAGTGGGTGAAATTCCTCAAGGATCTCGTGACAAAGAGGAAGAAATTGCAAGGGAACGAGATGATCCAAATCACGGAACAATGCAGTGCATTCTTACACGGCCCGTTCCACAAAAACTACGGATTTGTTTTTTAATATGTCAAGTTGTTGTGTACTGGAAAGGTTTTTTTTTGGGTATGCTCGTATTTAGATGTTATGCTGTCGAAATTTTGGCTAAACTTTTGTACATAATCATTTTCAGGCTGATTTGGAGCGAGTTTATGATGAAACCATGCGTGATGGAAGTGACGAAAGCACGGCCAACTCGACTGCAATTGAAAAGGTTTTGGGAAAGAGTAAAGGCCTTGGAATTAAAAGTTCAAGCACAAGGATTGGAAAGTCGAGATTTTCTTCTACACCATCAGACGTGGAGATTCAAATGAAGGCAATGCAAGAACAAATGCAAATGAAAGACGAACAAGTGAATCGATTGGAACAACAATTGCAGGAAACCCGAGAAACAATGCAAGAACAAAATAAAGTTAAAGATGAAAAAGTTGATCGATTAGAAGAGCAATTGCAGGAAACCCGAGCTATTTTTAACACCTTGCTCGAGCGTTTTAATAGTGGAGTATAAAAACGAGATGAAATTAATCTGCCTCTTGAACTAATACATTTATGGTTTCAAGTTTTTATGTAATTTTTGAATTGATGTTTGTGTTGTATTTTGATATTTAATTGGTAATCGTGGTTTTTAATATTTTTGAGTAAATATGGTTTTGGTTTTTTTTTTATTTTTTTTAACAGCTGATTTTATTTTATAATAAAAAATAATTAAAATAAACAAATTAATTAAAAAAAAAACCGTTTGCGACGAAAAAACAAATCGTCACAAACAAAAATGAGTACTTGAGACCAAATATAATTCCGTTATCGTCGCCAAATTAATTAAATTCGGGCGACGAAAAAGCTATTTGGTCGCTAAAAAATTCAGTGACCTTGCGACGAAATATGAACTTTCGTAGCAAAGACTTGCGACGCAAGATGAAATGTCGTCGCAACTCCTTGTGACGAATATGCATTATCCGTCGCGAACAATAAAAAAATAATTTTTTTTCAGCAAATACGATTTTAGCGACGAAGTTGTGTTTTCGTCGCCAAACTTTGCGTCGCAATTGTAGTTTCGTCGCTGACTTTGCGACGAGGCGTTTGGCGTCGATTGTTGACTGATTTGGCGACGAAAATAAAACGTCGCTAACCGTGATAAAACGTCGCTAGAAGACAGATTTCGTCGCTAGTTTTCGTCGCCAGTCTTGCGTTTTGGCCTAGTGACTATAGGAGGTAAAAATTTTAGATCGCTCATTGATTTAAGCGCTAGCATTAATCTTATGACTTATTCCACTTATAAAAATATTGGGTTAGGTGAGATTGAACCGACGGCTATAACTCTTCAATTAGTCGATAGGTCTTTAGTTTACCCAAAATGTATTTTAGAGAATGTGCTAGTAAAAGTGAACAAATTTATCTTCCCTGTTGATTTCATTATACTTGATATAGATGAAGATAGGGAGATACCTCTTATTTTAGGAAGGCCGTTTTTAGCCACGTGGAAAACTCTAATTGATTGTGCTAGTGCTGATCTTACAATGACGGTGCATGATCAAACGATCAAATTTAATGTTTTTAGTGCTAATAAAAATCCATGTGATAATAATGATTGTTTTGCTATTGATCTTATGGATTTTACAAATCATGAAATTTTTGATGTTTTGATCTTGGACCATGGGAAAGCATCTTTGAGTGCAGGAGATGATGGCGGAAACGGGAGTCGGAAGGAGCAAGTTTATTTTATGAACAATTCAACAATTCGTATCCTCTCAACTATTTCTACTGTCCGCACGTCTTACTTGAGCGTTGGAGGGGTTTCCGCCGGATCAACCCCCGGCCTAGTTCACGTGTTCTCTGTTCGCAGGTATCTCAGGACCATCTATTGTTAGAATTTATTTCGTGCAGATATAAATTATTTGTGTCAGATTCAGTTTTTCGTTACTGTTGCGTGTAGTGTTGCAACAGTTCGTGAAGCAGTTCATAAAAACAGAAATAAACGAGACACAAATTTTAATGTGGTTCGGATACAACTGTACCCTACATCCACGGGGACCTGCAAATAAAATTTACTAATTTTTAGTTTTACGAATACAATAATAGGACTTAATCAAAATACAAAGACTCCCTCTTTGTTAGCGCCGTTCTTGTATACTACGCTGAATTATAAATCTTCAATTTGCAGCACGTCCCTTGCTCCGCACGGTTGAACTTCCTTCAACGCTGAATCCTTCAGTCGGCGGATCGATCTCCTCCCGAGATCTGTTTAAGCCCCTCTCCCGAAGAACCGATCTTCTTTTTGTATAGAAGAAGCAAACTTGTGATACTCCTTGAATCTTGGTGTCTTCACCACAAAGCCTTGAAGCCGGTATATTTTCTATGAAAATCACGTATCACGATGGAACAATAAAAACGAGAGAAAAAATATTTTCTGTGAAAAATTCTCTCGATCAAAGACGTTCCGGGAGCAGCGAAATTAAGAGTAGAAAAATATATTTTTTCTCTCCAATGAAACGCATACAGATAACGATGCTTGAAGCCCTCTTTATACGTTCATAATTCTTCCTGCACAAGAAAATACAAATCTAATTAGATCTTTTATTCACGTTAAAAAGAGTTGTATAGGAAAATACAACTATTCATTCCTTATCTAAAAACTAATTCCCTTAACTATTAAAACACAAGGAAATAAAATCCATTAGGTTAGGGATTCTTATTCACGTAGGAGAATAAGTTGTAAAATAAGAAAACTCTTTGTATAAAGATAATTCCTAATATAAATCAATTAATGACAAATTAAAAGGAATTAAAACACAAGGAAACTCCCTTTCTTATATCACGGCATATCTAGACTTGTGCTACAATCCTTTTACACGTTTCCTTGCAAAGTCAGAATCCAAAGGATTCTAACAATCTCCCCCTTTGTCGTTTATTGATTATAATCATTTTCTCCCCCTGAGTAAAATAACCTGAAAATAAAACAATCAGATGATAGACGGAAGCAATAAAACGAAGATCATCATCAACTCTTTTCAACAACAAGAGTAGCATCAACTGCTGTAACAGTAAGTGCCACAGTTTCAGCAACTGTTCCCACAGTAGTGGCTCCGGCAGGTGGTTCACAATGGAGTCAGCTCCCCCTGCATGTGTATCGCCCTCTGTGAATGATCCTTAGGCAGCTCTTCTTGTAAATGCATTCATTCTTCCCCTTTGCTTACTCGGCTTGATAGACTTGGAAGGCGGTGGATGACAACGTGGTAAATTATCCACGTGATAAGAGATTCAGCAAATAACATCGGCATTAGCTCCTTCTTTTATATTCTTGTGAAGCTCTGGAGAAATCAAACAAGGAAACCAATTAATGACAATTACCACAATAATAATAAAAAGATGAAATTCCTTCTATTTTGGATAGACACGTTCAGGTGAATTAATATGGAGAGATAATTTATTTCTTCTCAAATTATCTAATGAGATAACTAAGGAAAATATGTTCCTCATATTAATACACATCTCCATAGAATTCCACTTGGTATTGGGGACTTAGAATCCCACCGAGATTCTAACACTCTCCCCCTTTGGCATTGATTGGTCAGAACATTTACTCCCCCCTAAATATATGATATATGCATGAACAAGGGTCAGCAAATTCAAAATAACTTCTGCAAATATAAACTGTTGCAACAGTTTATCAAACAGTTGCACGAAAGTTAGTGGTTTGAACTCAACAAATAAAGAACAACAGAAAATATGCAGTAGCAGAATCAACTTCCCTTATCCGTATTTGTCATGTATTTCTGCACTATTCCAACAACTGTATGATGCATTGTCTCAACAGCTGTCTGAACTCCCCCTGCATTCATGCACTGTTCCAGCAACTGTCTGATGCACTGTCGCAACAGTTGTCGGAACTCTCCCTGTGTTCATGCCATCGTTACTGTTATTTTCTCCCCCTTTCTGGGCAATCACCATGCATAGATAACGCAACATGGACTAGTGATCTTGATGTGTCGAGCAATCTGTTCAAACACTTAACAAAAAATCAAACGAAGAGAGAATCTTGAAAGTAAGTGAGAAGAGTCACCATATACAACTTGCAAACAAAATCACAAACACAAAAACTCAATACCACACGATAATTGCAATGCGAAAATCAAAGGATAGTGATATCAAATCCAACATTAAATAGCAAAGACTACAGACTTTGCCAAACTTCATAAGAAACGTGGAAATGTGAGGAGTAAGCCCAATCGATCCGGTTGCAACAAAAGATCAAGTATAACCGGCACATAAACAAAAATCCCGTCTCTCTCTCTCTCTCTCTTTTTTTTTTTTTTTTTTTTTTTTTAAATAATGCCTAATGCAAGACAAGAAGTAAACATGAGAAATAAACATGAGTGAAGAGACATATGTGAATAGGATACTGCATGGACAAACAAAACATATGGGATTTATCTTCACATTTACGACTAGCGCAATCCCCAAAAATCCGACTGCCAATGCAACCAATAAACTTAATAATCCCAAGTCAAACACAAAGATGCTCTTATTAGGTAGCGAACACACACGTCTAATGGTAGCTTTTTCACATGAAAAACAGAGCAATTAAAAGGAACGAGATTATGCTGGTCGTGCAATGTGTAGTCCTCTGGGCTTTCTAATTGAGCTTTGTAGTAAGTGTTCGGTCAAGTGGTTTACTGGCTCGACTCAACTAGGCTTCGAACTATTCACTGACCACATATATAATTTATATTGGTCGTGCAATGTGTAGTCCCCTGGGCTTTCTAATTGAGCCTTGTAGCGAGCTTTCGGCCACGTGATTTACTGGCTCGACTCAAAAAGGCTTCGAACTATTCACTGACCAAATGGTTGTAGATATATATATATATTAGTAACAGTAGTTCAAGAGTAGCTTTCACTCATTAAAAGAGGCAGCTTTTCCCTATAAAAACATCCAACCATGACAAGACTATTCAGAGAAATAAATAAGTTGGAGCCTTTTAAGTAATCATTTTGGGAATTGGTGAAGTTCTACCCCCACAAAATTTAGAAATACACGAAGTATCAAATTCACATTTGTCTCAATCATATGCAGTATGCTTAATGCAGGTCCTATATGAGATGCAAAAACATATGAAGTGTCCTACCTCTAAAAGTTGCAAGTCTGGACACACAGACAGTTGCAACAGTTCATGCAACTGCATCAGATTAAACAACATAAATTCCCAGCGATTTTCGCAAGGAATCAAATTTATGTGCATCAAGGGTTTTTGCAAAAGCATCAGTTAATTCATTCTCCATTGCAGCATAATCAATTGAGACAACCCCCTTTTCGACCAAGCCCCTTATGAAAAGATGACAAATATCAGTAAGCTTAGTTCTCGAATGCTGAATTGGATTCATAAACTTATTTTTCACATACAAATTATCACAATTCAGATTACCAAGTTTTTTATTCCCCAACCTAGTTTTGTCACCAGAACTGTTGGAACAGTTAGTACTATCATCACATGAGTTTAAAGAAGTAATGGCAGATAAACAATTAAGATCAGACTTCTTTACCCAGATTTTTTGTTGAGTTTTATTCACTAAATCAACCTTTATCTTGGGTTTTTGAGACGACATAAAAGTGTGATCAATTTTGGCGGAAAGTGGTGAGCAGGCCATTATTCTTTTAACCATTTTCAAGTACTTAAAACACCTGGGTCGTATATGACCAGCAACCTGACAAAAATGACAAATAGGCACAAAACGTTTTCTTTGAAATGACTGTTTTGGCGCAACTGTCGCAACAGTCTGTGAAACAGTGCATTGTTTAACAAAATTGATTTTTCCTATTGGATCTTCTTTCTGTTTCAAAGCATCATCAGATAGTTTATTACCCCTTACACCTAGATGACCATAGTACGGCTGATTTGTTCTCAAAATTTCATTCAAATTTACCCTACCTGTATTTAATTTTGAAATAGAATCTTGGGTTTTAGCAAATTTGGCCTTCAAACTATCTGTTTCTCTACTAGCAGAAATAACATTTTGTTCAAGAGTAGAAATTCTTACCTTCAATACTTTGTTTTTCTCAATTAGGACAAGCTTCTCTTTTTCTAAGAATTTATTCGACTCGCATACCTGAAGAAATTTTTCGTACATCCTTTCATAGCACTCCTTTAATTCTTCCAAGGATGACACGTCATCATCGCTGTTGTTTTCTGAATCCCAATCATCACCTGCAAGATTTAACGGAGTTAATATTTTATCAGATATTGAATGTAACTTATCATACCTAAGTTCTGTCTTAACAGTCTGTTCAACTGTTGCAACAGGTTCAGCGACAGTCTGTTTGCACTCGTTTATCTGAGTAGTTCCTTCGTAGGCCTCTTGTAGAACATCCCATGCCTCCTTTGCTGATTTGCACATTGATATCAATTTGAATTGGTCTTCATCGATACAACTCAAGATAGCATTGGTTGCCTTGGAATTATAATCTCCGATTCGTACTTCTTCATCACTCCACTTCTCTTTTGGGGTTTGAATGATCTCGTGTGACTCATTCATTGAGGTAGGAGGTGTCCAACCAATTAGAATCGCGCGCCAGGCCCATTCATCGATAGATTTGATGAACATCTTCATCCTTATTTTCCAATCAGAGTAGTTCAATTCACCCAAGAGAGGTGGTAGGAATGCGCCTTCACGATGATTATTCATGTCTGCACAAAAAAATAAAAAAATAATTAAATCCCAAAATCTCACTAAGTGTATCTAGTGACAGGCTCTTGATGCCAATTGTTAGAATTTATTTCGTGCAGATATAAATTATTTGTGTCAGATTCAGTTTTTCGTTACTGTTGCGTGTAGTGTTGCAACAGTTCGTGAAGCAGTTCATAAAAACAGAAATAAACGAGACACAAATTTTAATGTGGTTCGGATACAACTGTACCCTACATCCACGGGGACCTGCAAATAAAATTTACTAATTTTTAGTTTTACGAATACAATAATAGGACTTAATCAAAATACAAAGACTCCCTCTTTGTTGACGCCGTTCTTGTATACTACGCTGAATTATAAATCTTCAATTTGCAGCACGTCCCTTGCTCCGCACGGTTGAACTTCCTTCAACGCTGAATCCTTCAGTCGGCGGATCGATCTCCTCCCGAGATCTGTTTAAGCCCCTCTCCCGAAGAACCGATCTTCTTTTTGTATAGAAGAAGCAAACTTGTGATACTCCTTGAATCTTGGTGTCTTCACCACAAAGCCTTGAAGCCGGTATATTTTCTATGAAAATCACGTATCACGATGGAACAATAAAAACGAGAGAAAAAATATTTTCTGTGAAAAATTCTCTCGATCAAAGACGTTCCGGGAGCAGCGAAATTAAGAGTAGAAAAATATATTTTTTCTCTCCAATGAAACGCATACAGATAACGATGCTTGAAGCCCTCTTTATACGTTCATAATTCTTCCTGCACAAGAAAATACAAATCTAATTAGATCTTTTATTCACGTTAAAAAGAGTTGTATAGGAAAATACAACTATTCATTCCTTATCTAAAAACTAATTCCCTTAACTATTAAAACACAAGGAAATAAAATCCATTAGGTTAGGGATTCTTATTCACGTAGGAGAATAAGTTGTAAAACAAGAAAACTCTTTGTATAAAGATAATTCCTAATATAAATCAATTAATGACAAATTAAAAGGAATTAAAACACAAGGAAACTCCCTTTCTTATATCACGGCATATCTAGACTTGTGCTACAATCCTTTTACACGTTTCCTTGCAAAGTCAGAATCCAAAGGATTCTAACATCTATCACGTGAGCAGTGATCCACTTTTCTCTCCCAGCTCCTTCTACCTCAACTAATTAAGGTGATCTATTTCTAACATCATCATAATGGTGCCATCTGTGGGAAGGCATACAAGATCACCTAGCGCGCATGATGTCCCTGAGTCATCTACTCGGAGAGAACGTGACAATGCTAATAACCTCCCACTTCGCGGAGGCTCTCGCTTGCCACTTCCTCCCGTGATGTCTAGGTAAATCCTCCGAATGATCCACCACTCCTCGCTCCTCGAACGGTTCAGATAACCGAAGAAGCCCTCCAACACATGATTGCGGAAGCTTCAACTTGTGATGCCACTGAAGCAGTGGCACAATACATCGCCACAGCAGGAGTCAACGCTCCCCCTACAGCTCCACCCGTGGCACAACGACCTCCACCGCTACCGGATACCGCATCCATCTCAAACCCTAGGTCCCGGATGTAACAATCTACTCATCACTATGATGCACGAACTGGGCGACAAGACCCACATTCACCTCTAAGAGCCAACACCTCTCGCCAACGAGCTCCACCACACAATGGTGCAGAGGATGAAATTAACAAGCGTATATCTCGCTCGAATCACCTTCCGCACATATGTAATCCTATTGGTGGAACGGCAATACCTTCAATAAGGCGAAGTCCTTTCACTATCGCAATAATCAATGAATTACTACCCCAATGGCTAAAGGTCTCAAGTCTACCGCAGTTCGATGAAACTAGTGACCCACAGGAGCACATTAAAAAGTTCTACGCCATGGACATCTATATGGCCCAATTGATGCGGTAATGTGTAAGATGTTTCGCACAACTCTCTCCGAACGAGCATTGAGCTGGTTCAACTCCTTGCCCACTGGGTTAATTGAAACTCTCTCCCAACTGACGGATCGCTTCACCCACCATTTCGCTATCAACAAAGAGTATGCTAAGTCTCCCGCGTACCTATTCACTATCACCCAAAGAGAGGGCGGAACTCTCCGCAACTACATTCAACGATTTGTAGAAGCAGCTCACGAAGTTTCTAACTTGGGAGGAAGCATGCTCTCTGGAATCATTCAACAAAACTTGAAGCAAGGTAGATTCAAGGAATCTATTGGAGGAAGACCTCCAGCCACTCTGGAAAAGTTATTAAGTCGCGTTGAGAAACACGTGCGCTTCGAAGAAGCTTCGGCCCTCGCTCCTCCCAAGAGGAAAATAAATGAAGATCACTTCAATAACCGGCGACGAGATGGCCAACGAAAATCGTCGGCATCTCATTGACAATCTCCTACTACGTCTCTGGACTTTCTATGATGTCAATGACACTTGGAGTCTCTCGAGCACATAACATTGTTGGTGATCGCATCATCCTAAACTGGGGGGCTATCCTACCTTAAGGATGATGCATCCCCTCACATCTCTACATCAATTGGACGAAACACCTACATCATCTACTTAGTACAAGTTTAGTTATTTCGAGCGATTCACTCGCTACTTGTTTATTTACCTTCACCTCAAGTAGGCTTGTAACCTTCACATTTTCAAGCAATAAATAAAGCAAGCTATTTCCCTTATTCTCGGTGTTATTGCTCTTTTACTACATAATTATTAGCTCATGTCAACATTAACCTTGAGAACACTTAGAGATGTTATGATAACCTATAGCCTGGCCAGCTTTAATTTCATGAACTTCTCTGTCTGTCTTCATTGGGTCCTACATTTGAAACGTTGGCCACGGTCCTAATATACTTACGAACCATGAGGTCTGACAACGGGCACGATACTCATCAAAAACTCTTGAGAGACTGATCCCCTCATCAAGTACATCACGCACAATGCTAAATGTAAACACATACAAGCAACGCGTCAAACCAATGACAATGTCATACAATATAAGCGCCAAATGTAATAGTAGTGGGCAAACCCATCTACTCCAAGTATGAAGTCAAAATGAAGAACCTACAATTTTGCGCCCCTCGGGCCACGTGCCCTTCAACACGTCCCACCAAATTGCACGTGCTCTCCGATGGGTAAACTAAAATTATTATTCCTCCAGGTCACAACAACGATTAACGTAACACTACAACATCGATCTACTCTCGACACGATCCGGTACCCATTTTGACTTGGCTCCCACGTCGACTCGAGAGTGGAGGGCTAATGATATGCCTAATTGGGTCAGCCCAATAAGCTTACAATTTCTCTACCTACTGGGCCACGAGCCCAATTTAGAAGAGCACTATTACGAAAGCTCAATCATCTTCGTTTGGGCCCAACAAATTAACCTCAGCCCAATCGACAAGATATAAATAACGATTTAATTCTTTTATTAAAGGTACGCCCTATTATCCAAACAATTCGACAATTCGTATCCTCTAAACAATTTCTACTATCCGCACGTCTGACTTGAGCGTTGGAGGGGTTTCCGCCGTATCAACCCCCGGCCTAGTTCACGTGTTCTCTGTTCGCAGGTATCTCAGGACCATCTAGCATGTGAGCAATAATGCACTTTGCTCTCCCAGCTCCTTCTACCTCAACTAATTAAGGTTATCTATTTCTAGTATCATCAAATATTATTGTTGCTGTAAGGGTTTTCGTTCGAGAAATGGGCTCTATAGTACATTGAACTAATGATGCAATGAATAATATATACGTAAAAAAATTAAAAATAATTATTTGTTGAAAATAATAATAAAAATAATTTTATAAACTAATAATTATTAATAAATGTATAAATTAATAGGTATTAATTTATCGATAAATTAATATTTTGTTAAATTGTTAAGATTTTGATGGTCCCAACTGTATTAATTTATAGATGTTTAACTGTAGTTATCAACAAATTAATGGTTCCACCAAAGACTTGTTAAGTAAAGTATTTAAGGAAAATATTTTCAAAGACAAATAGTTAAGAGAATTAAGAAAGAACCGAGAAAATTTTAAAATTAAAAAATTAATTCAAGTAATTGAAATTGATTTAAAAAAAGAAGAAGAAGTTATTGTGAATTCTTGGAGGTTATGGATGACCACCATTACACTCTCCATTATACCCACATTACCTCCACCATTATTCATTATTAAGGTCTTGTAACTCATGACCTTTGACTAGCTTTTCTACACCTATAAAATAGGTGCAATGTATTGTATTTTGTGTACTCTAATATATGGAATATCATATCACATATTCTCCCTACTTTGTTCTCTACTTTTTGTATATCCTTTATTAGTTTCTCACCACGTTATCAGCACGATTGTTCTATTTTCATTTTCGAGAAAAGATGACCCAAAGAAGATAATTACTTTTCAACCATAGGATATGAAAAAGGAGTTAATTCAAATATTTTATTATTGTTTTAAATTGATTAAATATTAATCATCTTAATTTTGTTGTAGGTGATTTTTCGTGCAATTCACGAGTCTGTACTCCGAATTACAGAAACTGCAAAATACGAAACTTGTAGAAGTTTTTGTTGGCTGTTCGGAACACCTAGAATCATCAAAATGGGATCTCAATCAATAGAGATATTCTTAAAATACTCAGCACTGCCAGAACTGTCCCTTGTGCGATTTTTTTATGAATGTATAAGACGTTCTAAAAACAAAAGGGACGATTATAGGCATAGAGCCTAGATTACATACGAGATTAGAAATCTCGATTGAATATATTAAGACTCTAAGAACCTGTTTGGCTAAGCTTATTTAAAACATCTTATAAGGTCCTACATCTGATAAGATGTTTTAGTAGCTGATAAGCTGTTAGATCTTATTTTAAAAATTACTTTTTAAGGTGTTTGGATATGTAGATTATAAGTTACTTTTAATTTTTATAATTTGTTCAAGTGTTTGGAAATAAAAGGTGTTTATCGCAATAATGACAAAAAAATACATGACGCCATGATAA